GGAGATGCGAACAGCTCACCCCACCCCACGAAAACGTGCGCACTCGCTCGGCAACTCACTTAAAAAGTACCTTTGTTTGTTCACGGGGAAGTGAGTTCATTCAGACTGGACGGGGTTCAGACAGACCCGGTCCAATCGGTGACATTTGACAACCGAAACAGCAATCATCTTGTGGGATTCTCAGTGGGATGCGATTGGTTGGATTCACTTGAAAGTTGAATAGTTATGGATTTGCATTGGCGAGATATCTGAATCACATCGCTGAATGTGGTAGCATTGTCAGAGATAAACTCGCCGATTCTATCGTGGACAGAGACACCTACAAGCACATGAAATTTTCACTGCCAAAATACTCTCAGACACTCACCACCCATTAGATAACGAATTTTCAAAAGTTGTACCTACATCATCCACACGCTCGGGATTTAAACTGTCATTTGCACGTACCTCTTCTTATCGTAATTCTTTTTTGCCACATCTTCCACGTCTAATTATTGACAAGGAGAACATTTCCACACTATCTGCTGCCTTCAGCTTCATTATGTAATGATTTTGTAAAATTTGAATCCACAACTATGGTGTAAATGCTAAAAATTCACCTATCCGAGTGCATAAAGCTAATACTGAATTGACTTGACTCGATACACCATAGTGCATCTAGGTTGACCACCATACACAGATAGGAAGAAACAAGCGTTGGGCGTCCTAGTCAATTCTCGGTTTTGAAATGAACACGACACAGGATCAAGTGTGTGTGTGTGTGTGTTTGTGTGTGGCTAAAGATCCACTCCTCGGGGTGGGGTGGGGTGGGGTGGGGTGGAGTGTACAAAACGGTTCCCTGACTTGACTCATGCGAAAGTCTGGCATTTGGTTGTCAAAAACGGAACGGAAAAGGACTGGTACTGTTCTCGATTGATATTTTATGATCTAGATAACCCAGTCCATCAGTTCACTTTCGCAGATATGTTTTGATAGGGACGTCTAGAGAAAACTGATACACTTTGATAGCTTCTGTGGTGCCGATGTAGATCACATTAGATCGGTGTCATTTGTAAGCATATGCTTAACGCACTGATTAGATGATTATAGGACACCATAATTGTTCACATACAAACGGCTACAAAGATAGTGGTACTCTGGGAAGGGTTTTGACATACAATAACACATCATCAACAGTACCGTCAACATTGAGCGGCTGTGAATCGTTCTGACTGCCTGATTGAACCGATCTGCGATTACGCAAATCAAACAACGCTGGTCGTGATAGTTCTGATTCTTTCGGACCAAACAACTTTTGCATTCGCGCCGGGAGTAGACTGGAACGACGGCGTGGTTTGCTTTGCCAATTTTCTTGTCCCACTTGATCCAAATGCGTGCCCTCGATCACGGTTTGTCTTCGTTTGGACAGATACTCCTCCCCCTGGTCCGGGTTGTCCACAGTACTTTTCTGTTCCGTGTGTTCCGTGATGCCGCGCGTCTTTCGCCATCCGTTTAACCAGCTGCGGGAGTCGCTCCGTGTTTTGGATAGTTTTGTCAATCCAGGCTCCTTCATGACACCCTGATCGGGTAGTGGACGAGCTACGGGAATGGACGACTTTCGCAGGTCGATGTTGTTCTGCAAAGGATAAGTAAGGAGGAAAGCAACTTAGAACTTAGAATTCTAAAGCGAGGTGCATTGTGACGCCTCGGTCTGACTACAAATACCATCAATCAGCACCGATTGGAGGATAGTTTGAATCAATTCAAAATGGGGCTAAACGTGTTCCCTACCATCGACTTAACAGAAATTCTCTTGTGTTTCCAAACTGAATTCTTGCGATGCTCCAGGAAGCACTTGGTAAATGTACAAGGTGAAATTGTCAACACAAGGAGAGTGTTCCTATGAGACCCATTCTAGATATATGCAACTCCCCGTATCACGCCGTTGGGAAGTGGTCGGCAAGCCCACTGGAACCAGTAAGACTAGCAAATTGCTAGCATAGTCTACGAGACTCTTTTCATCTTTTAGAAGCTTTGAAGGACCTTAAACTAGAAGGCAAACAGATGATGTCATGTGACGTTACATCTTTGTTCACAAATGTGCCAATTAGTGAAACTACCAATCACACATTCAGAGGAACAAGATCGACGTGAGAATTCCATTGGATAAGCTGAAACTATTGTTATTCGTATGCACGCATAACGCACACTTTCAATTCAATGGTGAATTATATCGCCAGAAAGATGGGGTTTCAATGGGGTCACCTTTAGGACCATTATTTGCTGATACGTTTATGGCCAAACTAGAGGATGATCCTCTGGAGCCCTGCATCAGACAATGCAGCCTGTACGTTGATGATATATTATGTATAGTAGATGCAAATGCGGATACCAGTCGGTTGCTTGAAGAATTCACTAATGTCCATCCGAAAGTACGCTTCAATTTGGAAAAAGAAAACGTACTCATGAGACGCCGCAGCGGTAGCTCCGTCCAGTTATCGGTGCATATCAAAGTAGCATGGAATGAACAATATATTCATTTCCATAATTTTGTGCTTCTTCAGAGGAAGAGAAATCGAATTCCCTCTTTAATTCAGAGACCGACTCAGTTTTGCGGTTCAACTACTCTACGGGTGATTCTCTCAGCTCTTCACTAACCACTGGAACCTGAACCTCAGAATAGAGTCCTCTGTTCAAATATGAGTAAAGTATGAAAGGATCTTAATAATTCAAACGCAACCTACCTCACTTTCACCTTAAGATGTTTTGTGAGCACATCAAACATCCATTTTGGAAGTCTAATGTTGATAATTTGAGTCGTTCTATGAAAATGATGTGTACAAGCAACTTGGCCTGTTGGTGGTAGGGCGCGGTGATCATCCATCGTTTCAATTGGATGACGTAACAAAAGCAAAGGATTTTGCAACACTTGTGTTGAAGGAGACAGAACAGAGTGGAATTTCAGTCACCGATTGAGGAAACCCCCCTCCCCGGGGCTTCCGAGAAGAGCTTGTGGTTTGAGCCAGTTTACTTTGCAACAAAACATATTAAACTGATATCAGAGTTTCTCAAATTGATACCTGGGTATCCTAGGCTAAAAGAAATTGCACTCTTTAGATCATTTCGAAACCCGGTCGCGCATCAGCTGATATGCATGGACATTAAGGAAGCCAGTCACCAACGTTTCATTCATTCCCATTTGATCGAGGTGAGATCTCAGCAAGCAGGAATGATTTTCATGAATCACGACCGAGTGCAATGTGCTACCGGTTTCATAGCATTTACAGGAGCGCATGCAGAAGCATCGTGATCATACAGAACGTGGTGAATTCAATAATATCTTGGTAATCCTATCTGCTGTATCGGTTCAGTTCACCTTTTACATCCAATAACCGCGAATTTTCGTGCGTCAGGTGTGCTTGCTGTCTTTTGGCTACCAATTTGTAAAAAGAAGAGCAGAGAGAAGACTGGAGCATTACGAGCGAAGTCGAAGGTGATGGAGAATTCATACAGACCAAGGTTGTAAACATAGTAAGTAGATGATAAACGAGCGCCACTGTTTGTCACAATCAGCAATGTCACATAGTGTCTCTAATCCCCGGCGACCATGATCTAAGGGTCTACATCCAGGGAGCCCAACGACACCTATTTGACCCACTGTCGTGGTCGGCATTTTCGTACCAATCTGTCAAATCTTAGTTTGATTGCCCTTGACCTTTTCCCATTCGCTACCTGTCTCGATAAACACCGTGCGCCGTGGCAACCAACGTAATCTATGGCGGTCGACCACTTGCTCCAGTGAACGACCGCGATTAACCAAAACCGTGCTCCTAGCCACATAATTGCTTGTCTAGTTGCCCGCACCAGATTCGTGCAATGTTGNTCTTGTACCCGCTAATAGCAAAGTTTTTGCACTGTATAGCAGAACTGGCCGAACTACTGCAGTATTTACTCGACTCCTAACAGACAGCCGTATGTCGTGGATGCGCCACAGATGTCTCAAGCTGGTACAAGTCAACCGTGCCGTCTGTATGCGAGCTGACACTTCATTCATGATGCCTTCGACCGATGAGATGTATCTGCCCACATGACAAAACTTATCTATAACCTCTATCACTCACCCAGTCTTAGGGTAAGGCTGGGTGCTGGATCGACCCAGTCTTGTCGTGCTAAAAGTGCAAAACGCATAGCTACACGAGCACTGGAACTTGTGATTCACCTGTATCTTCGCATAGCAGCACAATGACGTCCGCAAATTCCAGATCAGATAGTCTGCTTTCTGGGAGCAAAAGCTCACACGAGAATAAAGTTTATTTTCAAGCATTCAGTCAATGACAAAGGTAAATAGGAACGGAGAGAGAGAGAGCAACCCGGACGAGCAACTATCAACACATCCAGATCAGAATGTTTGATCAATAGAGAGACAGAGGGAGAGAGAGTGGTATCAGGTGGTTGGAGCCCAGCAAATGTGCACCAGATCACATTTTGAACATGCCGATGAAAACGTTTCAGAATTGCAATTAGCGCCTTCCGATACGTTTAGTTTGGTAAAACCTGAAACATAAGATCATGCAAACTAATTTTTCACAACTAATCCAGTGAGGGTGGGCTTTCAGAGTTTGAATAGTACTGATCGATATTGCGAAACCGGAGAACGGCCAATGGCGTTATTTTACAATCAAAGGAACTGGTTTGGAAGTGGTCAATGAACGGAATAGCCAACAAAACAAGAGACAAAATGCATTCTAGACGCATAGAGATTTCTTCCGGAACGTTTTCGGGACCTGATCGAAAAGCTATTGTGAAACAATGTTTTGCGCAGTGATTGTGTCAGTTGCATATGGTTGGTTACGTTTTTTTCAGTACCAAGGGTCTCGACTGCTTCCTTTGCATATATATTCTCCGTAAATTTCACCTAGACGATATCCCATTTCGCCCCTCCACCCCCCCCCCTG